AAATGATTTACAGGCTGATAAGAAAACCAGCTAGATAGTATAAAATGACTGATGATAAAATGCGGGATGATGGACCCTCAGGTCAAATGGCATTCAACATGCTACTGAGTAAGAGCTGAAGCTCTTTCATAGTACTACTGGTGTTTATGATATGGCTAAAGTCGTCAGGACATCTAGTTGCCATGCAGGAAAAGAACATCAAAAGCTGCAAAAATGGAACTATAGTGAGAACGTGGAATACAAGAAGCATGAAAATGGGGGAGTTCAAAACAATGCAACATGAAATGAATCAACCACACAGATTGACTCTTAGGCATTGGTGAATTGAATTTATTACTCAGAACATGAAAAGGAACAGCATTGCTTTCATAATCAGTAAGAATACAGGATATCAAAGGTAATTCTTGAAGATAATGCTTTTGATAACTGAATAACATCAATTAGACCTTACAACAATACCTTAACCTGACAATTATCCAAGTTTATACTAGCCACTGGTGCAGAAGAAATGACCAATGAGTTATATGGTTAAGTTCAACCTAAAATCAACAGAACATGCAAGCAATGTCCAGGTCAGAAATAGCAAGGAGCAAAATGTGATTGGATTGTATGGTCTCAGAAACTGAAAGGAAGCAGGCGAACAAATGATCAGTTTCTGCCAATCTAATAATTTCTTTGCTGGTAAAACAATTTTCAAACAATGAAAACAACACATATACATAGATCATTGCATGATGGAATACACAGAAATTGACTATATTATTGGTTAAGGAGTGAGAAAGAGCTCAATTATAACAGCAAAGATGTGGCTAGGGGCTGATTATGAAACATTATGAACTATTCATATGCACGTTCAAGTCAAGCTAAAGCAAAAGAAAAAAACCAATATATTCCATAACATGGTCTTGAGCCTGCTCTTTTCCAAGTAGAACATTAGGAGTTTTTTTGGTCCTGAATATCATTGATAGCAAACCAGAAGAATTGTGGAATGAAATCAAGAAAGAGAAGAGGACAACTATCAGCAAGGTGAATCAATTCAATTATAGCAGCAATCAGTAAATCATTGGAACACTTAGGTCAGGTTGAGGATAGATTATTCTGGAGAAGTCTGTCTATGTGATCACTAAGAGTCAACACTGAGTTAATACCACATAATCAATGAGTATTATAGATGTGGCATCACATCTAGATTGCCATAATGTGGAATCAAAATAAAGGACTGAAAACAAATAAATCAAGGCTCACTGCAATGTTTATTAGACAGCATGTAATGGAGGTGACCCCACCAAATAATAGAGATATTTCTGAAAATAAAGAAATTGCACTGGTATTTATACATTTCAAAAAGGAGAGGAAAATGATGCAAGAAAGGAGGGGAAAATGATTCATGCATACATGTTTATAAGTAATAACCTAATAAAGTTCAATTAACTTCTTGCCCTTCTACTGTTACTATCTTTATAAACAAAGAATAATAATCTTAATAAAAGAAATATGTCAATAGGTTTCTATAGGAATATTTTGATAAGATTAGCTGCCAGCTAGGCACTCCAAGCTCACATTCTTTTGTTTTATTATTCTATTTGTTTATGTTTCTAGTCTATTAACATACTCCCATCCATCTGAAAATTTATTTTCCTCAAAACAATATGTTCTTCATAGGGTGACTTTTGAACAGTGTTCAAAAATTGTGATAGATCCTAAATTGCTAAATAGATTGCTAAAAATTGGAAAGAAGAAATGATACCTACAGATGAAGAAATTATTAGGAAAATGTTGGACTGTGCCAAAATGAGTAAACTGACATTTGAAATAAGAGAGCAGGAAGAAAAACAATATTATTTGATATGGGATTTATTTTACCATTGGGTAGATAATAAAAAATGGTGATATGTAAGTAAATGTTGAAATATTTTAAATGATGATACAACCGATATATTTTATATAAGAATAAATTTTGGATATGTAGTGATATTGTGAAGAGAGGAGAGGGCACTAGGGTTGCAAACCGACCGATGTACTGTCTGTACGTGATTGAATGAATGATGTTTGTATGTTTTCTTTTTCTTTTTTTGTTTTAAAATAAAAAATGATTTGGCAAAAAAATAAAATAAAATAAAAATTTTAAAAATTGTGATAGATCCTGAATTTGGTGACCTGACTACGGTATTAATAGGGGATTCAAAGAGCAAAGATTTAGCTGCCTTGTTGAAACGAAATACTAAGTATTAAATCACTGGCTGATTAACCTTAAATCCCAAAATTGCTTGAAAAGGGATCTCATTTTCTCTCATACAGATTTCACAATTATTAAAATTCCCTTTTAGATGCATTATTTCATCCCAATAGAGAAGAATATATTACCTAGTTGGATAATGAAATGTCTGCAACCGAATAATCAAGGACTCCAGTGTTATTTCATTTCACTGATTTTGTATTTATACTGATGTGAGACAGGTTGAAAGGAGAGGCAGGAATACAACTATATTATAATTTCAAATACCTCATGCATTTATAGTCCATATAACTGCATCCCTGAATCACTCTCAGTTAATTGTGCTTGATGCATAATCATGAATTAGAGTGATCTTTCTTGTAAAAGCAGCTTGAATGTACTTCACAGAACTAATACATTCCCATATTGAACAATAGTGTCCACCTTCCTTCACTGATTTCTGGTTAAGGTGATGGAGAGGTAGGCCACCAAATCTGAAAATTTTTGAGGTTGAGAAAGTTTATACTCCAAGATACAGGTGCTAAGTACCCACCATGGTTGCTCTTTCTGCCTGCCTGATTCCAGCTGCATGGCCTCCACACGCTTACAGGCTTATATATGACAAGTTTGTGTGTTCAGTCCTCCTGCTAAAGGCAATGTCATAAATCATCTTCAGTGACTTGGAAAGACATCATGTATCCTCTAGGAAGATTTCTTATAGGAAGCCAGGAAGCAGCACTGCCTGTACTCCTTGTTGCTGACCTGTCTATTCAAGTCTTGTCCAAGTAAGGAACAAACTCATGATCCAGAATGGCAAGCTGGGGGAAAAAAACCTCCCAGAAATCCTGCATTTCTCTCTGCACCTAACCAGCAATGATAGCTCACTGGAAAGGAACTTCCAGTTGCTTAGTAACAAGAAGGCCATGGCCAGCAGCCAATACAAAAACAGAAGCAACAGCCTGTCTTTCCAGTATGGGGCTGGACAACTGCACTTGGCAAACTATTCTGCACAACCAACATATAGCAGTAACTTAGTCACCTCTGAAGGAAATTATGACAAGGAGGCAAAGATAGAATTACTTTCACTTCCTCACTTAATCTGAGAATAGGACATTATTCAGCGATACTAACTGGAAGCAACACAAAACAGGTAAAATATATTACCCAAAACACATTTTACTAATGTATAGATGAATTCATTGTCCCTTGGTGTATAAATGGCAATCAGTTCAGAGGACCTTTACAAAGAGGTTTCAACAAATTCATGGAGAAGATTGAAGAAGAGTCTTTTATATTGATTTGATTTGATTTACCTCCCAACTTTCAGTTCAAATGACCATTCAATGGAGCTAAATTTTTTTTAAGAGTGCTTTCAAACCAGTCTTGACTCCTGTTTCCTTCAGTCAGCTAATTTAGAAGCAGAATACAAAAAGTTTTAAAAATAAAATTAATGATAATATGCGGAATTGCATAAGATCACCAACCTCCGGGTATTTCGCTGTGCACTCAAGACCCTGTTGTTCCGCCAGGCTGGGCTATCAACATAATAATTTTAAATTGGGTGTTTTAAATTTCTGGGGTTTTAAATTGAGCCGAATTATTTAATAATTTTAAATTATTTTAATTGATGTTTGTCTTGTGCTTTTAATAGGCTGTACACCGCCCTGAGTCCTTCGGAGAAGGGCGGTATAGAAATAAAATAATAATAATAATAATAATAATAATAATAATAATAATAATAATAATTATTATTATTATTATTATTATTATTATTATTATTATTATTATTATTATTATTATTTACGAATTAAAACCCAAATTAAAAGCCTGTTTTAAAGAAGTATCAACACATTTTCTGATTACTATGTTGGAGCCTAACAGAGGTCCCAAGAGAATTCATTCCAAGATCTAGGAGCAATACAGAACAATCCCATGTATAATAAGAGTGGGATCACCTTCAGAAGGATCATTCCTATAGATCTTAATTCCTGGATAGATTTGAAATGGAAGAGATTGTTTCTGAAATAGTCAGTCCCTCAAGCAATCACTTATGCACCCAGCTGTGAAGACATCTAACTGTATGCCCCAGCTATTCAGCTGCCCTCCGTCCTCCAAAATCACTGTCTGAAGAACCAGTGATAATAATTTATGATCTTTTTTCTGATCATAGTTCATTATGTAACAGCCCATAATTAAACATTGTGTGAAAACTGCTAAAACCCAGGAATAAGGGTTTAATTTTACTGGTGATTCAGCTGGTCCCAAATAATTTCTTCTCCACTGATCATGGGCTTTCATTTTTTAGAAATCATCCTGTGCATTGACTAAGTTTATTCAAGCATTAGTTTCCCTACCTGTTAAAGAGATCAAAGGAATTACTAAGGTTTCTTCCTTGCTTTACAAGCTCAATGACCTACCTAGAGATTCCTGTAGGCTGCTCCTGAAATACTAGATGTGTTATTAAAACGATTACTGCTTTTAGAAAACCACTGATTTTAGATATTAATAATAAGATAATATAGCATAGTAATTAATAACATTTAAATTGAACTAATAGAGCCACCAGTTCATGAAATGTGCATAATGAAATGTTTAGATGATGAGAAGCAACATGGTTTTGTAGATTTTTATTTTGATATAAGAGAAAATACTTTTATTATAAGAAAGAAAAATTATATGCGGGAAGCAATACCAACTGCATTCAAATCTAGCACGTGATAAGAGAAAAACAAGTAGAATCCTCTATTCCTTGTTCTTTATGAGATCATGGGACTTATGACAAGGCTTCATGATTTTTCAAATTTCTCCATTTTTAATCCACAATTTAAGATTTGCCTACACAATGATAAACTGGAACAAACACTTCTTGTAACCTATGCAGGATTGTTCCATTAATCATAGAATCATAGGGCTAGAAGGTATCTTGGAGCACTTCTCATTCAACCCCAAGCCCAGTACAGGAATCCACATATTTTTTCAGACAAACAGCTGTCAAAACTTTGCTTGAAAACTTCCAATGTACCTGTAAAAATTCCATAGTAAATCATACAGTGCTCAATCTGTACACCTTGAAAATTATGTGATAATTAATTGAAGACATCAAGAATTCTCTATCAGCCTGTTTTATACTGTTTCTAATAAGCAAATAAAATACAGAGACATACTTGTTATACTATGCCTCTTCTAAAGCTGGATCTACCATTTACTGCTCTATCGCCTATTAACAAGGCTGTTGGATAGGACTCTTACATTATAAGCAGAAGTCTAGATGTATCCTTGCAAGCTGAACCCAGATGTTTTAATTGTAGAGAAGATACTGTTAAGATATGAGCAGTGAAAATATGGTTTAGGTACAAAGAGGATAGAACATCAAATCCTTGGCGCAAAACAACCAAGGCATTATTTTTTTTCTTACAAAATTCACTGACTAGAAGTATTGTCTTGTCCACATCCTCTGCTGCTCTGTTATAACAGAACTTCTCCAGTGTTGATGTAGTCCCAAGCTCTTATATACTTAAGAAATTTGCCCTTTGGGTGGGAAGTGTCACTGGAAATTTACTTCTCATTAAAAGCAAAAAGCTATGGGCTGCTCATAGTAGAATGCTTTCAAACAGCACAAGAGAGCATTCTCTCTTTTACAACAGCATGAAAGAAATTAAATGGCTCTCGTTAAAAGAAAGCAAAACCCAGCCAGTCTTCAAAATCAGTTACATGTTTTGCTGAAAGTCTAGTTGTACTTCTGCCAGTACTCAATCTCAGTGATGAATGTGAGTGAATTAGTTTGCTAGGGCTCCATACTTACCTGCATCTGCTTCTCTGTACATGTCTGTTTTCATTATTCACTCAAACTGAGGTTGTCCCAGTTTCATAACACTGAAAGGCAAATAAATGGATTTAATTATTTTTTTATAACAACCCAAAATGCATTCAGATGTCGTGATGTGTTTATATCTATAAAGATCAGAATAGTGCAAGCAGTAATATTCCCTGTGACATTCTATTGACGTAAAAAGTGGACTTTGAAGAAGTAGAATAGGAAGTGTATTAATGCTTTTGAACTTTGCTATTGAGAAAATTCTTGAGAATATCCTGAACAGTGAACAAAACAAACATATAGATCACCAAACAAATCAACTCACGTATGGCACACGTGTTCAAGCTCAAATTATCCTACAGCAGACACAGATGTGAAGACCCACCTCTCTGGAGAAGGTTCTAATGATGGGAAAGGTGGAAGGAAAGAGAAGAGGATAGCCAGCAGCAAGATGGATGGACTCAGTTACAATGGAGATGGGTGCCCTGTTCGAAGACTTGCAGGATCAGATTAGATCATTGTGGAAAAAATGAATCTGATATGGTTGCTAAGACTGGACACTGAGTTGATGCCACAATGTAATCAAGTGATGAAACAGATCCTAGTTTTAAAATATTTAAATATATTCCTGCAACAACACTCATCCTGATGTCACACATCTTAATTTGGTGTGAGATTTATAATAAATGTCCCAGAGTATTTCAGTGGCTATACTGACTTTGCCAAGACAGCAATAGTTTACAGTGTCATTTCCATTGTAAAAATTATTAGTCTATTCTAAGTAGTACATGGCCGGTGCATGCAATTATCCAGCACTAAGCTGAGTCACCAACAAGCAGGGAGCAATTGACACTTTCCCAACCGTTTTATTAGCTTGATCATAAATCATTTGAATTAGAAGAGGTGAAGAGAAAGAAACATTTCTTTGTAACTAGTAGGGACAGTTAAACGCAGCCAAGAAGAGAAAGTTTTGCAGTCTAATAGTCTAGTGCTGATAGCATCCACAGTAAGCAATTCAATTGTAAACTGAAAAATCAATTTTCAGGATGAATTAGGAGAAACTAGAAATACAAGGTCAGAGGAATAGAGTTCATAATGGAGAGTTATTAAAAACAAATAAGAGAGAGAGGGTCTGGGATATACTCATAACAGAATATAAGAGAATATAAGAGAATAACAGAGTTGGAAGGAACCTTGGAGATCTTCTAATCCAACCTCCTGGTCAAGCAGAAGACCCTATACCAGTGATGAAGACAAATGGCTGTCTAGTCTCTTTTTAAAAGCCTCCAGTGAGGGAACACCTAAAACTTCTGAAGACAACCCATTCCACTGGTTTATTGTTTTCACTGTCAGAGAATTTCTCCTTAGTTCTAGGTTGCTTCTCTCCTTGATTAGTTTCCAACCATTGCTTCTTGTCTTGCCTTCTGGTGCTTTGGAAAATCACCATATTGCCAGATATGAATTAATAAATTAGTATATTTTTATTTATTAAACAATTTTATATGGCTGATTTAGGGTTTGGCATTCTCCCAAGGTCAGGCACTGATTTATTTCTATATGAATATTAGCCATCTGCACTCAGTCTGATTCATACTCATAGGAATAGCTTGTTATTTTCTGAGCTGGCAACTGTGAATCCACTTAGTTCTTCTCTATAGCCTCAGAATCAAAGGAGTCTCTAACACCAGTGAGATACACAGTAGATGCTAGCTTTCTATTCAGGTGGATTTAGTGATTGAAAGATGGAAAAGCTCCATTGATTTGTCATGAATAGACTATTTCCTAACCAGTTAACACTAGCAATTCCATCTTTGAAAATGGAGGATGAATTAAAATAGTCCCACTTGCGTACCTGATAAGATTTGAATAATTTTTGTGTGTAGTGTGAACATTATCAGTGATACTACTGAAATTGCAGTTGAAATAAGTCAGGTTATTTGACACTGCTACTACTTGATCTAAGGACTATCCTTCCTTCTTAAATGCAACATCAATCTTTTGTTTTACTGTTTTGAGCTCTGTTTATGATGTTGGAAGTGGCAATTTACTTGGCTTCCATGAGTCTATATAAATAAGCCAGCATTTCCTCTGTATTGAATGGATGCAAAATGTAGCAGTGGAGGTACAGAACAGGTGGTGCCTCACCATGAGCAATTGGCAATGATTTGGCTATGCAAATAAAGAAGTTATTTTCAAATAAAGTCAGTAGGATCTGTTCTTTATCAGGATTTCAAGGTTAGGGAATGTCATGGAAATGTAGCACTGACTAGTTGTCTTCTTAATTTGGATTGTTTCCAGTTTCTGAAATAATCTGAAACATCTGCACAGAGTGTTTGGCAAGAAGAGAGTCACAACTTAGTTGCTTAGTTGACTTTTGGCCTTTGGGAGCACTCTGTAAGTGTGTTTGGTCCTTCCTGCTGTGCTATGTCCAGGATGTGATGCTGGAATCTACTTTTTACTTCCTCCTCTCCATTTTGCTTAGATTTGTTTGTATTCAAGACTTGAAGGTCTGTTCATCCTTCCAAGTATGAATAATACCATTATTATTACACAAATCAGGCAATATTAATGTTATGCTAATTAAAAGTAACATCCCTTTTTCAGCCTCCATGAGGATCAGTCTTTTTCTAGTCCTCTCTAGATATGCTTCTCAGATGGTCCCTGATTTAGGAAGGAATAAGCTGAATAAAGCAAAATTGAAAAATAACCTTAAATGATCAGAGAAATAAGGGAGAGGTTACTAAAATCAAAAGCAAAGAGGCCCAATATTAAACTCCATATTTTTTTAATCCCAAAATAAGAAAATAAACAGAAAAGGAGCAGAAGGACAAAATAGGATTGGGATAGAAATGAGGACTACGTAATGGCTTCCTCCCCTTTCACATTAGTTGATCTTCACTTGTCTTAGCAAATCTGTCTTAATCTTGTTTTCATGTCAGTACTACAGTTGCTCTGGGGAAGATGAGAAGTAGAGACTAAATTGGCTAACACAGAGATGTCCACAAGGAAATCATTGCATTGAGAAATGACACAGGTTCAGCATGAAAATTATATTCCATTGTATGACATGTGGAGACATGCCTGCCTGCAAACTAAAATTTAGAATTTAAACTCTGTGAGATGGCTTCACAAGTCTTTATTCTGTATGAAATAGAACTACATTTAAAAATTAATATAATCATTCCTGTGATAAAATTTTGTGTATTTAGATATAGCTACTTATGTGCAGCTTTGTTTGCAATTTTGCCTAATATACATTTTACAATTTTATTTTTCCTGTTATGGTGCACATTATCGCCTGAATGTAAGCACTTTTTTCAAGATTTTGTTCTTATTTTCATGCTTACATACCCTTTTTAGCTTGTTAATAATGTTCTTCATTTTATCCTTTTGAACTAACTTTGGAATCTGTCTGCTTGAACTTTGTAAGCAGCTCTCAGTGTGTCTGTTGACTCAACTGAACCATCCAGTTTTTACACTCAACAAGGAAACTATCAGCCCCAATAGATAGACAAGACCAAGGACTCAACTCCATAGGAAAGCTAAAACTACTTCTATTGAAATTAGCTATAATAACAGAATCTTGCAAGTCCCGTTGTGCTGCACTTCCTCCTTGTTTTTATTCCCCAGTGAACTAGGGAAACATCTGTCTGAGCCATTTCAGATTGTAATTAAAAAAAATGTTTCAGCACCTTTTGCCTAGATAACAGTTCTTGTGTGATTATTGATTCTATATTTTAATTTAGAAGATACAAGGTTAAATTCCAGTATCAAACATACAAATCTTGTGCAGGTGGAGCCTGTCAATGGCTTTAAAGGTGGTGATCAGCTATAGAACAGATCAATTATTTCCATTTTCAATTAATGTAGAAATTCTGTACTGAATTTCTCTTTAGGGAAGGTTGTAAAGCAAAGAGCTCTCAATACAGCAGATTACCTGGATCTCTTTCAGTCAGGATTCAGGCCTGGACATGGGACAGAGATGTCATTGGTTATGTTTTTAGATAAATTATGGGAGCAAGACAGGGATAATTCATCTGTCCTTGCTCTTCTTTACTTTTTGGCAGCCTTTGATACTACTAACCAAGATTTCATTCTAGATTAGCCCTACAGGCTGAAATTGGGTGGCATAGTATTATGCTGATTCACTTTCTGTAGGGCTAGGACCGATTGTGTTAATTGAGTGAGGTCCCATGCTCAATCCTTATTATGTGGGGTTCCACAGTGTTTGGTACATTCCCTACTCCTATTTAAGATCTACATGAAGCTGAAAAACATGCATTGCTGTGGAGTGAGATATCAATATTTCTAAACCTGGCAGAGAATGTAGAGGTTTGGAACAGTGGTGAGTTTCACTTACTGTACCTTTGCTACTAGTTCATTCGTGTGCAGCCACTTCTGCGCATGCACAGAGCATATTTGATGACATCCGGGCGGTTGGGCAGAGCCTCCCACCGCTGCTACCAGTTCACCCAAACCGGGGTGAACCTGTAGCAACCCACCAGTGGGTTGGATGGGGACCAACAAGTTCAGCTGAACCCCAGCAAGACTGAGTGGCTTTGGGGTTTGGACCTCCTGGTTCAAGGACCTTACTAACTGTGGTACAGGATAGGGTGGCATTGCCCTAGGCAGACAATCTGTCCTCCTAGATCTCAAGGAGCAGGTGGAAGTCATGGCTAGGAGACCCTTTGTACAGCTTCATATTTGTGCCAGCTGTGCCCCCTTCCTAGACTGTGAAGCTTTATTAACATTCATGTCCTTGTCATCTCAAGAATGCATTACTGTAACACTTTACATGTGGCTATTCTTGAAGAGCATCTGGAAACTTCAGCCGATGCAGAATCTTGCTGCATGGACAGTTATTTGTGCTCTTAGTAGGGGACAGGTTATACCTGTTCTATGAACTACATTGGTTGTCAATCTGCTTCTAGGTGTTTCAAAGTGCTTTAAAACTCTATATGGCATAGGATCATATTATTTGAGGGCCATGTCTTCCCTATTACATGTACCTGTCCCACTAGGTCAGGGAGTAGGAATGTGCTGTGGGCCCCTTCTCCATAACAGCTCAACTGGAGGGACTTGGAAAGCATGCCTTATTTGCTGTGGCTCCTGCCCTCTGGAACATCATTCTCCCTATCCCCGAGTGAAATTAGCCCATCTTTATTAGCATTTTGGAAGACATGTTTTTTCATGAAACTTGTAGATCCCTCAGGAAGCCTGCAAGGTAACTGTATGAAGTCAAGTTAATGGTTTATCTTCCATATTTTGGGGTTTTATATATTTATTTTATACATGTCTGATTGTTTTAGATTGGGTTTTTTTTAGTTATGTTTGTAAGCCACCTAGAGTGTATATGTATATATGTATGTATATGTATATGATGTATATGAATACCAATTCTCAGTAGCTTCAGTAAGATGGCACCAGAGAAGCTATGAGACTAGTAGCTCAGAGGAAGCATATGCTGCTTAAACTGTTAGTTATATTATTCCAATTGTTGAGTTATGCTAAGCTATGAAGGTGTGGCTACACTTTTCCTCCTTCCTCCATCCAGTTCAGGACTGTGCAGTGTCCCATCTTTGGCTCCTT